GTAGTAGTAGTAGTAGTAGTAGTAGTAGTAGTAGTAGTAGTAGTAGTTGCTAACATTTATATAATGCCTATTATGGATCAGGCACTGTGCTAAGCAATTTACAAATATTATCTCATTTGATCCTCCCTGGGAGGTACATACTACTATTTTTACCCCCATTTTACAGATGAGGAAACTGAGGCAGACAGAAGTGAAGTGACTTGCCCAGGGTCACACAGCTAGTAAGTGTATGAGGCCAGATTTGAACTCAGGTCTTCCTGATTCCAGGCCCAGAGCTCTGTCCACTGTGAACTTGCCCAGGTCACACAGCCAGTATATGTCAAAGTAGGAATTTGAACCCAGATCTTGCCGAATGATGCCATGTTGCCTCTCAATTCCCTTCAATATGAAAACTGTAGAAAGTATTACTCAACTCCCCAAATTGAGAGAAAAAAGGTCCCAATGGCAAGGATGCCATTCTCCTGCCACCATATTTCTTTTCTTTCTCTCTTTTTTTTTTCCCCTGCCACCATATTTGTCCTCATTCTCCCTAGTCAGGGACAGGGCCATTGATTTTTCCGTGCAGGGGGGGGAGGGAGGGAGGAGGGAGGAAGAGAGGGCTTTAATAACTCCTTCCAGCTCTGCCTCATTTGAGGCTGACTGCAGCCTGGCGTGAGGAAGGGGTACATTTCTAGAGGCACACACAGGACAATCCCACAAATCTGAATTCACAACCCTAGTGTTTCTTTCATTTTCACAGGTGGAAAATTAACTAGTCGTTTTTTCTAACAAGGCTTAATACACACCTCACTACTCCAAAAAGGGCAGAGTTTGGCCCAAAACAAATTTTAAAAGCAAAAACACCTCATCTATTTTGAAAAGGTTTATAAATACTGTAGTAGGTTTCAAAAGGAAAGCTTTTTAGAAAACAAAGCTAAGTTAGTATTGGCTACATTTGGTCTTCTAACAATCAATCCCATAAATCTCCTATTGGGAGTGGTTATTTTCCCCCTCCCCCTCCCTCCATCACTCACTTCTGGCCCTCACAAATATCTGAAAAAACTCACAATCCGCTCTAAAAAGGCTCTCCCTTGGCTTTCACATTTTCACAGTAAATACAAACAAGTAGGCATTTATCCAACCTGATTTGTTGTTCTGTAACTGTTTAGCAAAATACCTCGAGCTTCATCCACATGTGAAAGCAAGACACCTTACTTCCAACATCACACTTCTGGCACGGCATTCTGTCAATGTCCACACTGCTATTGATAATTACAGATCAAGAGTTTCTTCCCTTTCTATAGCACAGTGAAAGCTACCGAAGAACGGCATTAATGTCAAGTGTCCTTATTCAAGGCAAGCTGAAATCCCCAAATCCTTTCCATTAGAAAAAAAAAAGCAACGTAATCCTCTTAAACTCATTTAGCACTTTGAAATCTCTAGTCTCGTCTGCTTAATGCCAGTCTTCCAATAGCATAGTTTTCTAATCCCCAAAGTTTGGCATGGCTGCCTGGCTTGCCCACCTTCTGCTCTGCACCCTCACCAACTCCGTATTTTTAATACTTCAAAGATCAGTGACTTGAACCCCTTCTACAGAGCTGAGTGAACAGTCCCCTCAAGTCACTTGTAGGTGACAAAACATCCCATGAGGACCACTGCTTTCCCTAGAGGCAAGCCTCTCCAAAAGTAGTTAGGGAAGGACTCTGATGAGGTCAAAACCTTCCTCTAGCCTTTCCAGTTGGACAGGAACCAGCCAAACCCACACTCTGCCAGTACCGACTTCTGAAATCCAGAGTCAATTTTCAGATACAACAAGGAATCAGACGGGGGGGGGGCTCCCGATGCACACAATACAGAGGGCCACTTCCTCTCCCCAGTTGAGTCAATAGGAGCACCAGGTTAACCGGGCTGACAGCACACTCAAGTCACCAAGACCTACTAGAGAGGGAGGAGAGGAGCTGAGCGTACACTGGAAAGAGAAAAGCCAAGGAGGGAAGCTAAATGAGCATGAGTCTGGCTGCCAACCATAGAAGCCACAGAAAAGGAAATCAGAGCTGAACTGGCCTCCAGGCCCAAGGCCACGCATCAAGGGAGTGAGACAGGATGGGAACGTGGGTCTCCCCACTCACCTGAGCCTTCCTTCATTGCTGCCTGCTGCCTGCTGCCTTCCACACGGGGCACAGGGAGGTGACGCTTAAGCTGTGATCCAGATGGGCCCTATGGCCCAAGGAGGGGCAGCCAAGAAGGAAGGGAGAATCGAGGCAGACCCTGTCAGAGATCAGCCAGACCACAGCAGCGGAGGAAAGGCGCCTTTTCTCTCTCTTCTTCTGCGATCACACTCAGCCTCTTCTCTCCATTTTTTTTTTTTTTGGTGAGGCAATTGGGGTTAAGTGACTTGCCCAGAGTCACACAGCTAGTAAGTGTTATGTGTCTGAGACCGGATTTGAACTCAGGTCCTCCTGACCCCAGGGCCAGTGCTCTATCCACTGCGCCACCTCGCTGCCCCCATCAGCCTGTCCTCTCTCTTCACCTCCCATTCCATCTTGTTCTTATGGATCTCTCTCTCCTTTCTTCTGTTGTTTTTTCTCTCCTTTTTCCTTTCCTTTTCCTTCTGCTCTTCCCTGATCCTCCCTCTGGTCCCCCTTTTCTTCAATTTCACTGTAAGAGTCGAGAGATGGAAGGTCTTGTTTGAGGCAGAGCCAGGAAACCAGTGTCACTGGATCAAATAGGATGTGGCCAAAGAGTAAGGTACAAGAAGACTGAAGAGGTGGGAGGGGGCCGGGTGCTGAAGGACTCTGAATGCCAAACAGAATTCTGTATTGATCCTGGAGGCCATAGGGAACCACTGGAGTTTACGGAGTGGGGACAACCTGATCACACTTGTGCTTTAGAAAAATCACCTTAGGGGCTGAATGGAGGATGAGTTAGAGTAGGGAGAGCCGTGAGGCGAGCAGATGCCCGACCCATAGCAGGAGCTCAGGTGTGAGGGGATGAAGGTCTGCACCAGGGGGGTGGCAGTGTCAGAGCAGAGAAGGGGGCATGTTGGAGAGATGTTGTAAATGAGACGACAACCAGTGAGGCTTCGGTAATAGCGGATGGGGAGTTCGAGGAGAAGGGAGAGAGTGAGGATGGTCTACCCGCCTTTTAACGCTTGCTCTTACCAACTGACTGTGATCCCTTCTCCTCTTTTACTGGCCGGGTGGTTTAGCCGTCAGTCAGCCAGCATTTCTTAAGCACCTACTATGAGCCAGGCACTGTGCTAAGTGCTGGAGATATAAAGAAAAGCAAAGACAGTCCCTGCTCTCAGTGAGCTCCTAGTTCAATGGGGAAGACCACATGCAAACAACTGTGTACAAACAAGGACACAAAGAATAAGTTGGAGAAAATCTGCAGAGGAAGGCACTAGAATCCAGGGTGACTGGGAAAGGCTTCCTGGACCTGAAGAAGGCTGGGGAAGCTGGTGGTGGAGATGAGGAGTGAGAGCAGGCCAGGCACGGGGCACAGACCGTTGCAACACTCCACGTCAGACTACAGGGCCTGGTGTTCAAAGCGTGGCGAGGAGGCCAGTGTCCCTAGGCTGTGGAACAGACGGGAGGTGTACGACTTAAGAATGAAGAAGGAGCAGGGGCTCGGGGTCTGGAGGATTTTATAAGCCAAACAGAGGACACTGTATTTGTTCCTCGAGGTAACAAGGATCCCGTGGAGGTGACTGACCAGGGCAGCGTCAGCGTCGGACCTACAGTTTAGGAAGATGAATCTGACAGGTGAGAGGAGCGTGTGGGGATAGACTTGAGGCGAAGAGACTGTAAGAGTCCAAGCGTGAGGAGCCGGTGTGAGGAAAGAGCAGAGGCACCTACAAGGCATGGTATGAAGGCAGAACCAGCAAGACTTGACAGCACACTGGATATGGGGGTGAGAGAGAGGGGAGTTAGGATGACACCCAGATTGCATGCCCGGGTGACTAGGAGGATGATGGTACCCTCCAGAGTAAGTGGGAAATTAGCAAGAGGGGAGTGTCTGGGGGAAAAGATTATGAGTTCAGTTTTAAACATGCTGATCTTGAGGTGCCTAAGAGATGGTTGATGTGAGACATCCAATAGACAGCTGGAGATATGAAACTAGAGGTCAGTGGAGAGGTTAGAGCTGGACAAACAAATCTGAGAATCACCTGCATAAGATGACAGTTGAAAGCAGGAGAACTGATGAGCTCATCAAGTGAAACAACATAAACGTGAGAAGAACATAAAGTAAAAATCAATAAATAACATAAAGTGCCCAGCACAGAGCTTTGGGGGACACCCACAGAGAACAAATGTGACTCGGATGAAGATACAGCAA